TTACCATGTAGCTTGCAAGATCTGAAGCCGTGGCGAAACGATTGGACTAACTCGTCCGACCTAAATATAATTATACTGTTTATTATACTCTCGGGGGTATTTGCAAATATATATGTATTGAGTAAAGATATTCAGAAAGACAGTAAGAAAAAACAAATATATGTTTATTATTACAAGCTATTTTGGCAATGAGTATCGTTATAAAGTTTGCGGATCTGGTATCACAATACGATGGTTCGGGTGATTTTTTAGAATGGATACAGAAATTGGAACTGGTAGCAAAATTTTAAAAAGTTGACAAGCTGCATGTGGTGCTCCCCTTATTTCTTTCTGGTGGAACATTTGCAGTTTATCAAGGCCTATGTGATGAGATAAAAAAAGACTACAATGAAGTGAAAACTGCACTGACTACTGCCTTCTCTGTTTCTCCGCTATCAGCATACGAAAAGTTCGTCTTAAAGAGAATGAGTCCGTTGACGTATATCTTGCAGAATCAACAAGACTGAGCAAGCTAATATCATCTCACGTAAGCAAAGAGTGAATGAGGTGCACATTTATTTTTGGATTACCTGGAGAAGCAAGAAAACAGCTGCAAACTGCATGCTCAATATCAACAATGTCGCTGTGCCAGATCGCTGAAAAATCCAGAAGTTTGGTAATTTTACGTCGCAAAGAATTGTGTTTTGTCAGTTGCGTGAATCCGGTTGCCATTAGTTCAAGACTGGTTCCTAAAGGACGCGGAAAAAAGACCATAACGTGCTACCGTTTCGGTGAGGATAGACATATCAGTCAAAATTGCAGCAAAGAGATTGAGAAGAAGAGATGCTTTGTGTGTGGAAGGGACAATCACCTGGCCCAGTACTGCTATAAAAGGTGTACAAACTCAAAAAACGTGGAAGGGAAGCCACCCGTTTTTGTGCAAGCGGCTTCCCACAAAATTTAAAACCGCCAACTCTCCGCGTATATGTCAATGGAATAAAAATAAAAGGATTGTTAGATACTGGATGCTCCAAATCAATTTTAAGTCAGGATATTGTAAACCCAAAAAATGTCAAACATGCAAGCGAAAAGGTTGTTATGATGAATGGAAAGTCAATTGAAGTACAATACCAGACTGTTGTTAATCTTTCTATAAATGATACCACCATCAATTTGGAATGCCTGGTTGCCAATATTGTTCCCGAATATTAAATGCTACTTGGTATGGACGCAATGCGACTGCTCGGAGGTGTCCAAGTTGGGAGAGACAGCGAAACCATAAACTATAAATTTAAATGTGGCGCCCAGTATAATGACAAAAATTTTAAAAAAGGTATTATCCTTAGACAAAGTTGTCGAGTCTGGAACGGATTCATTTATTGATGACATCATTGTCAATAATAACATAGTGTCAAATTGTAGAGTTCAAGAACTCTTGAAAAAATATGGCTTGGATTCTTAGCTGCCAGAAAAACTTGTCGGTGGGCGTGTGCTTGGATTGTGAGTGTACAAAAAAAACAACCAAGTGCGTTGGAAACGTGGCAACATACAAAGTTCCTGAAGAAAAAATGACGCGTCGGTAAATCTTTTCTTGGTGTGGACAGCTGACTGGACATTTTCCAATAGCAAATTGGTTGCGCCCTTCGTGCAGCTGTCTAAAAAGGGTTTCGAGTAGTTGTGGATAAGACACTTAGGTAAACGATCGTGTTGTCAAATTAGTAAGCAGTTTAAATGAAAGACTTACATAGAAAGATCCCGTTCATGGGTCATGGAACGTAAAAAACACTTCTGAAGCAACAGTGTGGTGCAATGCAAGCAGTTTAGCTGTTGGCATAGTTCTGGAAGTTGCTGGGGAAATAGTAGAAGACTGTTCGTGGCTGAGAAAACAAGATGATGCAGCTCACAATAACCTCGCAGAGTTAGAAGCTGTGATAAAAGAAATCAATCTAGCAACAAAATGGGGATTCGAATGTATTACCATAAAGTGCGACTCGGCTACTGTTGTTGGTTGATTGAAATCCATAATCATCGGTGACAAACCCATTTGAGTACACGGTCTTGGAGAACCACTTGTCCGTCGCCGGTTGTTGTTAATTGAAGAAAAAAAAAAGAGCTGGTACCATTTAGCTATTGGCGTTACCCACTATAAACCAGAGATTTATTTGTCTATCATTGACTGTGGCAAAAAGCGAAAGTTTGCAATTTGGAGGAAGCTAAAAAACGAGAAAGAAGCAACAGTGGGTTTCTATCTAGAAGAAATATTAAGAGAAAGAGGACCTCCGTGGCAAGTTCTTCTTGACAACAGCAAGACCTTTTGCTCCAAACTCGTTTGGTGAATTATGCGCAGAATGGGGAGTGTCCATCCTGTTTCGTTGCGCTTACAGGCCATCTGGAAATTAAATTGTTGAACGTCACCATCGCACAATCAAGCGCATGGCAGCAAGAAGTGGCAAAGATCCGTTTAAAATTGGATATTGATATAACGTGGCTCCCAGAAAAAATGGCGAGGAAACATCGCTCCCCTACAAATCTATATTTTTCTATGAGTGGAAACCACACACAATTTTTACCAAAACAAACGAGGAAGTTCTCCACAACTACACACAAGGACAAGAAGTATTTATAAAACCACTTGATTCAAAATGTACTAGCGAATGGAATAGAGGAAGAGTCTCAGATTAAGGACGAGGACTTTTTGGTAGAAATCAATGGATTGCCGAGACACATGTCGGACGTCCGTCCAGCTGCCATTGTAGCTGACTTGTCTACGAGAAAACCGGAAGAACCCACTGCGAACAACCTGAATCTCAGAAGATCGACACGTGTGCGGAAGTTTCCGAATAAGTATGCGGACTTTGTGATCTAGAGATCAAGGGGTGTTGTAATTAGTGTAACTAATTGTATTATTAACTATTAACGTGTTGCGTCAGAAAGAATGTTGTGGGCGCGTCATATATATTATATTGTACATAACGTTTATACTGTTTATTATACTCTCGGGTTAAAACATAAATTTTCCTGAGACACGAATTGATGTCTATTATTTATAAGAAAATAGTAAAAAAATATATTTTTTGACTTTGATGATATCTTGAGGTTCCTCTTTGGATTCTAAATTCTATTAGGCTGACTGGTCCTAAGGTTTATGATTTTTTTCTAAACCATATCAATCTTTGACTTAAAAAAAAACTGTTACAAAAACTGGCAGAAGTGCACACTGACATAAGTGCGCGTAATAAATTTGCGAACATTGGCATAAGTGCTAAATGGCGTTTTGCCTTTATGCTAGTTTGCAATTATGCCAGTTTGCAAATGTTTGCAAATTTATTTAGTACATTTATGCCAGTTTGCAATTATGTTGTTAGCTTTTTTGCCAGTTTTTGCAACTGCTCCGCACTTATACCAGTACCCACTTATGGCAATTCACGCTTATGCCAATAATTGTAAATCTATTTAGCGCACTTATGCCAAGTCGCACATATGCCAGTTTGCACTTATGCCAGTTTCTGTAAATGTTTCAATAACTGCTTTGCACTTATGCCAATTCGCATTAATGTCAATGTTTGCAAATTTTTTCAACGCACATATGCCAATTCGCACTTATGCCAGTTCACACTTATCACAGTTTGCACTTATAGTAGTTTGCACTTATGCCCCAGTTAACCAACCCAGCTGGGTCCCAGCTGGGATTGAGCTGGGATTACTGGGGTTCTGGGTGCCAGATGGGTTCCATATGGTGTAAAAATATTGCCGCAAATAAAGTCTGGGTTTTTACTGGGATTGGCTTGTCATGACATGGTCATGACATGACATTCCGTAAATGGTTTACGGCTGGTTTGAAGATGGGACGCGTAGTTTAATGATAGCGTGAATTTCTAATCAAAGCAATTTTTTTGGCATCGTTTTTATTAAGAAGTATTGTTGAAATAAATTTACAAAACTAAAATGTTAAACTTTTTTAAAATAGTTTATATTACTTACCTTTTTTTTATATTACTTTTTTTTTATATTACTTTATATTATTATATTACTTTATATTATTATATTACTTTATATTATTATATTACTTTATATTATATATACTTTATTTTATATTACTATATTATTTTTTTTATATTACTTTTTATATTACTTTTTATATTACTTTTTTTTATATTACTTACCTTTTTTTAAAATAGTTTAAATTACCTTACTAAGTAAAACTGCCTTACTAAGTAAAACTGCCTTATCTAAACTTTACATATTATTTATAGATACATAAATGTTTTACATTTTCTATAATTTATATAATTAACAATATAATACTTTTATTATAAGTACTGTAACTGATATTATAAGATATAATATAAGGTTTTGTATGAAAAATGTTAAAATTATTTATATTGTGAATTATTTGTACATAATAGTAAGTAATAACAAAAATTATTTGATGTTTTAACGTTTAGCTTTATTTATCTGAAGTAATAAGAAAATTATCACATTTTGTTTGAATATATTTATTTATTAAATACATTTTTTAATTCTTTAAAATATAAATATTTCTATATATTTTGATAGTAATATTCAGACATTTGTTTAAGAAACAATTTGGCTAGTCTAAAAGAGGGAAATGTTAAGTTTTAAGGTTTTAAGATGTTTTTTAATTATCACAGGATATTGAATAATTTTAAAAATATGTTCTGAAATAAATTAAATATACAATCATAAAATGCTACTCAAGTGCAATATAAAAATGAAAATGTAGTTTTGATATTAAATACTGCAAAAACTGAATCATTCAATAATCACGAGTGTTTTGTATTTTTCACTTGCTATAGTAAGTTAATTTCATTGTGTTATTACATGATATCATATTGTCATATATAATATGTTTATTTACAAAGTTATAAAAAAGATATAAAATTTTTTTGACAATAATTTTTTTATCTATGTTATTTTTGTATACAACTTAATTAAATTTTAAATTTTAATAAAACTTTATTAAATTTATTAAAGAGGTTCTATAGAATCTATGTTTTGTTTTTAGAGTTGGTTTGTGTTGATTTATGATTAACAACGGAAAATGCATTACTTCAACAAATGTTAGTTTTTTACACATTAGTTATATAAACTCCTATGAAATGGTTTATCTAAATCTAGTAAGTTAACACTTAATCTGACAACATTATTTTGAATATTTTTGTTTCAGAAAGTTCATGAAAGTTTTAATTTCCCCGAGTTTTAATATCTCAAAATATCAATTTATAGAGTTTGATAAAATAAATAAACAGGGTTGCCACTCAACCTGGAATACTTGGAAATAGCAAAAAATTTTCATAAAATTCAGGGAAAACTCAGTGAAAATAATTTTTTTTTTTTTAATTTTGTACAATAATTTTTTTTTCAAAAATATTTTGCTAGTACATATAATAATAAGTTTGCTAGTTGTGGGTGTTGTAGTAAAAGTTTGAGTTTGTCAAATATAAAGATTGTGTTTAATTAAGGAAAATAATAATCTCGTTGATGAACAGGAAAGAATATAGAAAAGTCAGGGAAAACTCATTGAACTTAAAGGGGCTACCAAGTTCCTAGACATGTGTTCAAAAAAAAACGTCTAAGCAAATTTTTTTTGATTAAAACTAATTAATAAATGTATACCAAGAAAAACAAATCTTGTTGTTTTAGTCGAAATTCGTCTTCTCCGTTTTCTCTGGTATTTTGAGTATGTAAAATAAACGCGATTTTCCAGGCGCATTATACAGACTTGATAATTTATTCAAGCGCGTTTAATTCATAGGAGTTTTAGTGCATGACGTCATAGATTTTTTTTTTTGTTTGTTTAAAACACCGATTGTTATTTTTTACATACAATTTCCAAATCATATTCATTTTTATTATATTTTAACGTTCTAAAATGTGTTTACAAAACAAAATTAAAAACAAAATAAAATTAAAAACAAAAATAAAATAAAAAACAAAATAGTATTTTATTTGCGCAACTTTTTTTAAATAATCGTCTAGACCACGTGTATTTTGATTTCTTTTGTTATAAGTTTTTCTTTCAAAATATTAGATAAAATAATTTTAAACCTAAATAATAGGCCGGGAGAATAAAAATGAGCAATTGCTTTTACTCAGTAATTGGTCAGCTTTACGTGAATAAAAACAATAGGAGTTTTGCTCAAATTCTATTCACGTAAAGTTAAGCAATTTACTTAGTAATTGTTCGGCATTACGTAAATAAAAACTTAGAGAAAATTCCTTTAGCTTTTATTCACGTTAAGCTGACCAATTACTGAGTAGAAGCATTTGCTCGTTTTTATTCACCCGGCCTAATAATGCACTTTTATTAATTTACTTTCTAAATATTAAAAAAAAATTATTAACGCATTTTTTCTCTGATTTTCAAAAATGTATTTTTTGGTATTGAGGTGATCTTATTTCATTATTTATATTTCCATTATAACATCAAATATATATTATGGCGGGGGCTTAAAAATTAAAAAATTAATATATATTAATTTTTATTTTACAGACATACATGGAAACATAATTAACTTGAATGTTCTTAAAACATCTTGCGGAAGAATAAAAAGAATATTCGCGAACACTAAAAACCCGCCAAATTTGCGAACACACTAATACCATGTTCACACTAGCGATGTTCGGCGGAACATTATTCCGGAACAAATGTTCCTCATGTAAAATTGGCTTGACGGTACATAAAAGAAAAAACGAGTAAAATAACGGTAGGTAAAACTCGAATAAAAATTAGTGAAAAACAGTTTAGCAAATACACATTGTTAATATAATTTATTTATTTTTAATATTTATTCATTTATGAGAGGTAAAACTAAATGCAAATAACGCTGAGGGTTCAGCTAGCTCAGAGTTAGACAATAGAAACCCAACCCAAAAAACCCGCCATACAAAAGGTGACGTTGGAATTTTGTTATCCCGTTTCTTGGCTTTTATGGATAGGTCATATCTCCTTTAATCTCTTTTGACGACACAGAATAGTAGTCCATCAGTGGTATAGTACCGAATAAACATATTATACAATAATATGTTACCCACGACCAGTTAAAACTAATCTCATTTTGTGTTCATACATATTTAATATTTATTTATTTAGACACATTTGATAACCTCAAGGAAAGTAAGTTTAGTTCAAAACTACTAAACACATAACCATATTACAGCTAAAACTTTAAATAATAAATGATATTATTACTACTTTATAAATAAAATGATATTATTACTACTTTACTTGTCCCTTTCATAAAGGTATTTAGCAATTGAGTCATGAACATTTTTTCCTGGTCCATTATTCCCAGTTGTAGAAACTGTATTGGGTTGAGCTAGACTGTCATCATGATGATGCAGAAGCCATTCTATTATAATAATATCGTCATAATATTCACAAATGTTGTGAAGAGTGACGCAAGCATTAACAATTCTTGTAGCAAAGTTAATATCGCATTCCATACGTTTGCAAATTACACGGAATCGAGCTTTAACGCGCCCAAAGGCATTCTCAACTACTCTTCTTGCTCCGCAAAGTATTTTGTTGAAATTTTTTTGAATTTCACTAAGCTCCAAATTTTCAGGATAAGGTTTTAACAAATGACGCGTTAAAGGAAATGCTGAATCACCTATCAAACATAGTGGAACAAGAGAATCGCCCAGCTCTTTACAACATTTATCAAATAGATTTGATTCTAAAATTTCTTTCAAAGAAGAATTCTGCAAAATATAGCTGTCATTATTTCTACCAGGCGATCCAACACTTGTATAAATGAAACGGTATCGACTGTCTACAACGGCAAAAAGTACAATGGAATGCCACCCTTTATAATTATAATAAGAAGTTGCTTGATCTTTAGGGGCTGAAATAGGGATGTGGCATCCATCAACAGCTCCAACGCATTGTGGAAAACCAAGAATAGCTTCGAAATCTCTACTATGTTTATTTAAATTTTCCACTGACAATGGAAATTTAACATATTTAGGGAGCAAAATGTCATTAACAGCATTAATAAATTCATGAACAATTAAATTTGCTGTTGACTTTCCTATGCCAAAAAGGCTAGACACAACACGATACTCTTTACATGAAGCTAGATAATGTAATGCAACTGCAACACGTTTTACTACTGAAATAGGTTCTCGCATAGTTGTGGTAGTTTTGCCTAAATGTGGATGCAATTCATTAACTAGGAAATTAAATGTGTTACGATTTACTCGAAAATGCTCTTTAAATTCACATTCCTCCATTTGAGTAAAAATCTCATTAAACCATTGAGAACTTTTTGGCCTAACCCAAACTTTTCTTTCAATCAGATACCCTTGTTGATTTAACTTAAAGGAAGCTAAATCTAAATATGAAAATGGGTGGGTGATTGATTCATCATTGATTAATGTTCTTCTTCTTAATCGAAGTACGGCCAAATCGCTTTCCATGTTTTTCCAATAGCTTCTTCCTTTACCGATGTCTCCCTAAAAAACTATTAAAACTATATAAATATATTAAATAAATATAATACTTATTATATTACAATTCAAGGGAAATTAAAACACATTTTTAAAAACCATTTTGTTAGAATTGATACAGCATGATCTGTTAACAAAAACAAAAATGAAACGTGTAATGCAATTTGTATATATTAAAAACAAAACACGTTGGCAAAAAACATATCACTATAATTCATCTACAGGCTTGCTTCATATTGCAAAAAAAAATTATTTGGTAAAAATACTTAATATATATAGCATAGAGATACAAGAAAAGGTATTTATAAAATAACATGACAAATTTAAAAAATACCACCAGATATGCATTTTAATGCTTGAAATCACAAAATATTTTTATTTTATATAAAGTAAAAATTCCTTTGATAATAGTAATATGGTAACATGAAAAAATATATATAAGTAGAGCTTCATCTACAAGCTTGTACAATATTTCACTAACCATCTCTTTAGTTAAAACATTGAAAAATCTTATGAAATATATATTGCATAGAATTGTAAACAAGGTATACTGTTGAAAAAATACTGACCTTTCAACTTTAACATAATTAATAAAAAGATATCTTGACTAATAGAACACCTTATTTTTTTATTAAAAATTTATAATATTCTACTTGGGCTTTAGACACATCTACTTGGGCTTTAGGTGCATTTTCAATTGCATCGCAAATACGCTCTAAAGCAACAACCTCTCTGATTCGTAGCTCTTGTGAATGGATTTGAACATCTAGATTTTTATTTGCTATTTTTAAATATTCAGAAAAAAAATTTGTTTTTTTATTTTTTCTCACCGGTTCAGTTTTTGCTATTTTATTCAAAGTTTTTTCATCATCAGAGCTCCTCCGTTTATTGCAGCCGGATGTAGATTGAGTTGGTTCCTCATCAGGAATAGTGACAATTGATTGCACATCGCTTGTATCATCCAAAGCTTCAGTATTTAAAATACTGACAGTCTCCTTGCCATCTTCCATTGTGGCAATCTGTAAATAAAATATACACATTAAAAAAATTACACATTTGAGAAATGATTATAAATCATGTTTCAATCAAAATTTATCTCTTGACTTTGAAAGACTTGACTTGAAGTCATTTTACTCCCTTCCTTCCCTAAACAAAAAGGATCTATTTAGACAATAGCATTTTACAAATATCCCTTTTATAATTCAAAAACTTTATATTATATGTTTTTGATCTTTATGTTTTAAGTCTGCCAAATGTTGCAAAACTAAGAACCTCTTAAACCTTATTTTTTAGAAATAGTTAACATGCTTGTTTACATTACTTTAAAAATATATAGCCCTTTAAAAAATACAACAATAAATTATACTAAACTTACCTGACCATCTTGAAAATCTTGAGTAGAAAAGTTTTGACTTTGAGATAAAAGGTCATTGTCAAGGGAAGCTTCTCCACCTATTATTTTGGCAACAATATCGTGAGGCCACCATTTACTAGGAGCTCCTCCCGATGAACCAACTTGAAGTTTTTCTCGTCAATGAAAAATATACATAAATATAAGTAAATATAAGCACATCATTAACACCGTATAACATTAATCAAATAACTTTAAATGGACAAATTATTATTAACGAAATAATTATTAACAAAATTAACGAATTATTAACGAACAATAAAATAACAAAATATTAACAAAATAATTATCAACGAGCTGTAAATCTTTAATACTAAATAAGATTTAAGTAATTTTTAATATAACACTCAGTTACAAACTAAATTGCAACTAGATATTATTACACATGGTTAGTTTTGTAAAATACTTTCAGTATTTCAGTAAGGTATCAAACATTAAATGTAGAATATGTACATACCTAAATTGTTTCCTCAAATTACTAATTTTAGATTGAATTTGATATCCAGTTAACGGAGGTACGATATTAAATGTGTTTGAAAATTCAGCTGCCATTTGTTTGTAAATATTTGTGTTTCTTCTTGCAGATGTTAATGCATTGTAATTATCTTTCCATAAATCTAATAATACTCTTGTGTTAGCCATATTCCATACAAATTTATTTAAAGGAGATGTGCAAAGACCAATATTTGTTGTGCTAGCGTCAATACACTCTTTTTCTGAATGCTGAGACATTGTGTAAAATTAAAGTTATACCTACTAAAAAGGATAAGTACATTGAATCTTGCAACAATAACAACAACAACAACAAAAAGAAGAGAAATAGTTAATAATAATATTAAAGGTTAAATTTCATAATTGCTATAAATGTTATGGGCTTAAAATAATTTAATAATGTTATGGGCTTACTAAATAACTTAATAAATTGCCAAAAACTGGTAGCCAAGAGAACAGAAACTTTCAGATGCTACTTTTACTTTTTTTTACTTTTCCATGCAATGTGATAATTATGTTATTTAATAACATTGATCTTTCAACACTATTGTTTATTTTTATTTTTAAATGTCAATAATTGTAGTACATTGTGGCAAAGATATAAGGTACAGTCATATCAATACAGTCAACCAATAATATATATTCTGAATAAAGATCTTATTTTCACAATTATTCACAAACAGTAAAATAACTAATATTAAGTAAATACAGAATATTTATGAGGAAAATACTAATGGTAATGTTCACAAATTAAAATAACAAGATAAGATAAAGCTAATATAATAAAATATATATGACATATAAATAAAATATATGACAAAGTTCATATATAACAATATATACCAATAATAATATCAATAATAATGTTAATATAAATAATAATAACAATGATGACAATAATGATAATAATATTAACAATTGTTATTGTTGTTATTTTTATCATTATTAATACTATTAATATTCTATTATTATAATTATTATTATAATAATAATTATTATTTTTATTATTATTATTATCACTGTTGGCAAGGCCAATGATAAACAAATCTGCTTATTAGTTCAAAGTTGAATTTTATAAATAAAATTACTATAAGTTTATTAAAAATGCATTAATAGCAATGCTTGCAAAGAATATAATTAAATTAAAACTATTAAACAATGAAAATTAAACTTTCTTAACGCAAGTTAAATGTTACCTTGAATTATACTTCTTGTTAATTCAAATTAAAACTGATCTTAATAAGAATAATACTGTCTTTGTAATGTTATATTTTAAGATTAAGTTTTTAAAAACACATATATAACTTCTTTTTAAATTAATAATATACTAATAATTAAATTTCTATTCTATTTATACAAATTTTAAATATCGTTAAAAATAACTTGAAATTTGTGATGGTCAAATAATTGTTTTTTAAACAATTGCCCACCATCTGGTCTACTCATGATTGATCCCACACGAGTGGGATCGGAATTTCCTTGGTTGCATGAAATTACCACAAGTTTTTACTCAATGAATAAATATATGAAATTATATTTAAAGAAATGTTTTGAATTAAATAAAAAAGATGGAAAGCAAAAACTAAAAGTTTCAAGGCAACATGTTGAAAGGCAAATAGTATATCGATAATCTTGTCTTGATATATGACCAAGACCTAGGACAATGCAGAGATCAAGGACTAAAAACTCTGGTTAAGATGACAACAACTTTGTAAAAAAAATAGTTTGAGTTACTTTTACAACAAATTTGCATCTTGCAATGTATTTTTATTGAATCATTTAGCTTATATGCATACGCTTATTTTAAAAATAGTTGAAAATAGGCACCATTTTTTATACAATACCAAATAAATGTTCCGGAACATTTATTTGTTCTGGGTTGGCGGGACGGTACAAAAGTTCCTCAAATGTTCCTTGAATTTTTGTTCCGTTTGCGTTCACACGAGAGGATATTTGTTCATGTTCCATGTTCCACGGAATGTTCCATCAAATGTACCCTCGTGTGAACAGCCTATAATTCTATTGGTTCAAAAAACACGCTGACCAAGCGAGATAAAGTTCTAGAGTATTTTTTTGAAATGTTTTAGGAATTGTATTATTTACGATTTGTTGCGTTTTGAGAAATTTTTTTAAGAATATATTATCAAATGAACTATTACTTTCATATTATGGCTCATTCTCGGAGCCACATCTGTAAAGCCGTAAAACTTATAAACCAATCATTTGTTTACAAAAATAAACGTTTTATAATATATATTTTTTAATTTGTCAAAATTTTGAAAGTTAATTACAAATTATATGTTTTATTAGTATATTCTTAATTTTTATATCTTTTCTTAGAGCTTGGTTTAATTATTGTTTGTTAGATTTGTAAAAAACTAACGAACAATTAATAAAATAAACTTTTAATAAAATAAGTAACCATAGTTAGCTATTTGAGTAAAATTTAATAGTAGAATTTTTAAAGACTATCTTGAATGTTTCCAATGACGTCATGCTCTAAAACTTCTATCAATTAAACGCGCTTGAATAAATTATCAAGTCTGTATAATGCGCCTGGAAAATCGCGTTTATTTTACATACTCAAAATACCAGAGAAAACAGAGAAGAAGAGCTTTGACTAAAACAACAAGATTTGTTTTTCTTGGTATACATTTATTAATTAGTTTTAATCAAAAAAAATTTGCTCAGACGTTTTTTTTAACATTCTCTTTAATATGAACACAACATGTTTCGGGACTTGGTAATCCCTTTAAAGAGTTCAACTCAGGTAAAAAAGTTCTTTACTCAGGGAATACTCAAGGAAAAACTTCAAAAATTATAGTGGAAACCCTGATAAAATAATTTCTGTATAATAAAAATATATAGAATTTGTAAAATATACAGGTTTTTCCTAATATTGACCTGGGCTTCTGTGAATGGATAAATTCTGTGAATAGAAGATGGACTGTGAATCTCTAGGAAATGTGAATGTTATTAGAACAAGAATAGTGTGTTTTACATCATTTTTATTAAAATTTTATGAATATATATGATAATAAACATTTTTAAAACTGCATATACAGTAGTGTGACATGATTTGGAAAAAATATACATTTAAAGGATTTTTCACATAAACTTCATTTGGTACCTCAATGGTAGTTTTTTTTTATTTTTATTTTCATTTATCTGTTGATTAGCAGAATAATATGTACTAGTAAGATTATATATGGTAAAGCAAATATGTTATTCATGCAATATGATTTCAATAGCCAATTTTTTAATAGTTTAATGGCAGCATGTATTGTCATCAATACATACTGCCATTATCACAATGAAGTAAAAAAGTTATTTAATACATACTGCCATTATCACAATGAAGTAAAAAAGTTATTTTAAAGTTATTTATGTATAATGATTTTTTAAACCAATTTGTTAGGGTGTTATATTTTTTAGAATCTACTGTGAAATAAGTTTAATATATAATCACAAAATGTAGCTCTAAGACAACATGAAATTAAATAATAAATTCTGGTCCACGATAATTGAAATACGTTATGTTAGACTAATCATGAATATAACTATTATATATAATAATATAAGTACTCTACACTCGTTTATTATAGTAAATTTTCATTGTGAAAATAATTTTATTATTAATATTATTGTGGTCAAAATTACAATTGTTTTTAATTAGGTACAATCAAAATGTTAGTGATATTGGTTATTTTTGCATTTATTAAATTATATAAAAGATATTAAACCCTCACCAACTGATTTAATGGTTTGTTGTCAGGTTAACTTGAACAAGACTTTAAATTTTAAATGCTAACATAGTATTCATGTTACATTATTGTTGTTCAAAAGTCTATTTATGTCATGCCTAATTATTAACATCAGTTTTTTTACCATGAAATAACATTGTTTTAAATTCCCTGCAGGATGCCTGTTAAAAAAAAAACTGAAGAAACTTCAAAACTAGATGATGCCATCTAAAGAAGTTGAAACACCGTTATTCATGGTGTCATATCGAGGCTTCAGTTCTCCTATATTTATTTTTATATTTTACTATATATCTTATGTTCATTTTATTTTTTATTTTTGTTATTTTTGTAACAAAAAAATATGTGAATAATTAGTTGTCCTGCCCTGGGCCTCTACTTCAATCTGGCTATTATTATAACACGTATATCGATTTATATATTGTATTGAGTTAGCTTGTGATTTGTACGTGTGTTTTTGTTTGCCTAGTATTTGTTAATTATATGCAAGATATGACATGGTATGGCACAATGCATGGTATGCCCTAAATAATATTATCAATAAATATTTTTATCTATACTTTGTAAATATATATGCTATAATTTATTATATTATTCAAATGTTTATTTTTAATTTATAAAATTAGTGTAAAAGTGGATGAAAGCACTGAAGAAAAACGATAACGATATGAGAGAACTACTTTGGCAGAATATTACTATCGTAGTTTTGCATCAAATTATTGTATAATATTATTTTTTTGTTGCTTAAAAATATTATGAAATTCAAATCTGCTTTTTCAATTGATTTGTAAAAATTATGTGAGACCAAATATTCATTTGCCTATTACATTTTATTGCCCTGGCGAAGAATTCAATATAGATAACATAAATAACCTTTACTTTTTAATTTTATATAAAAAATGCGACGCTTTTCAATCAAAAAATTGTCACATTATTTCGCAGATTCGAGACAAAAGTTGCGAAAAAACAAACTAAAAAAAGTTGAGAAAACCCGCGATAAATGAAAAAAATATCTGAGTTCAATATGGGATATCCCGTTAAAAACCCAGACTTATCCCAGATAGGACCCAGTTGGATCCAACTGACAGAATCGCACTGGGACCCATGTGGGATACCCAGATGGGTCTCATTGTTTTCCCCAGTTGGGTCCCAGTTGGAATGATTAATTGGGGCCAATGTTTGGAAATTCTTTTTGTGCACTTATGCCCTTTTGCACTTATGCCTTTTTTCTTACCACCAATATTTTGAACTCTTTGTTTCTAATAGAAAGAAATAATAGAAAAACTGACAATTCCTAATTAAGTAGTAAAAATTATGTATTGTAAAGAAAATTTTTAAAAAAGAAAAATCTGTCAAATCAGTATTTAGCATTTTACAAGTGCAGAGTTACAAGATAAAACATTCAGTTACTACTTCTTGTTCACACTATTTTATATTAAGTTTTTTGCATCCTTGGGTTTTTATCTCATTTAAGAGAAGCAACACACAATATTGAAAGTCTAAACAAATTTCCAATAATAAAATTTTACATAGTCTTAACAAAACTACGTAAATAAATAAATTTAAAATACATAAATTTAACAATTTAACAACTTTTCTGGTCTAACCCTAAATCAGAGAAAAACTAATAGACAGTAAAATACTTGATAGTGGCAATGCTATATTAAATATATTAGCGTTTTTCTCAGATTTCAGGTTAGACAAGAAAGATTGTTCCATAGATTTATAGCTTTGATATATTGAAATAATGGATTTCATGACGGTGATTATTTAAAGTTAAAATTGGAACCTCATCTTTTCAATGATGTTTTTTAATATTGACAGTCATGTTAGCATTTTACAACAAACATTACAATATTATTTTTAACTAAAGACTTACTTGCTTGAGATAATGGAAATCAATCGTCCCAGTGGGCATTTCGACGTCGAACGAACGTCGAGCGACGTCGGATCTCGACGTCGGATCGACGTTGGGTTTACGTTGGAAATGGAAATGTTATATGACGTCGGATAAACTGACATCGCGCAACGTCGGCATTCCGATGTAAATCCAACGTGTTTTTTGAAAACTAAATTACGTTGCCTTAGGTAGGAATCGAACCTCGGTCTATAGATCCTAAATCCTACGCGCTTACCACTACACCACAGGGACATATTATATAATGTGTTTATTTAATAATTTATACTTGTAGCTATTTGGGAATTATTTCTTTGATAAGAAATAATTTTGTTTAATTATTTTATAAATATTAAAACGAATAGTTATATATTATAAAAAATGTATACTCGAAAATGTTAATAGTTAAAAAACTATGCTAGTGCATCATACAAAACCTCATGATGTTTTATCAACCATTATTCAAACTTCTTTCCATTAATAAAAAACAGGCTTAGTTCACATATTTATTGAAGAGCGCAATTGCACACATATTGTTGGGTTTGGATTAAATTTTCATCAGCGATGTCTTACGACGTTGTTCCGACGTCGTTTTAAGGACGTTGGATTGACGTCGGAAGACGTCAAAAGACATCGGAGTACGTTAATATTATGACGTTGCCCGACGTCTTTTTATCGACGTTGGATCGATGTCAGTACTGCGACGTTTTTTGGACGTCTTTTAAAAGATGTCGGAACAACGTCAAAATACATCGAAACAACGTCAGGGGATGTTGAGATAAAGACATCGCCCGACGTCATTTTACTGACATCGGAACAACGTCGGAATAGGTCTTTTGACATCGCTGATGAAAATCGCACATAAATCCGACGTCGGATTGACGTCGGGTGCCCACTGGGGTGTTTATCCTTTTTATTTAAAGATGATGAAGATTGATGTGTCTTAAAATGAATCTCTTGGTCATCTCAATCAATATCATCTTTATTTATTATTTTTTGACCTACAGAACACAAGCATAGAAAATATTTGAATTTCATCTAACAACTAGTTTTCTCATGTAGCAATTTTATAATTAAAAATTTTTTACAAATTACTTTACAGATTAACAACTTTATAAGTAAAATAGGGTATATAGTATGACATGTAATATTATAGGTTTCATACTGCCAAATATTTGGTAATAACACCAGAATATTATTAAAGAATAAAAATCTTAAAACGACATTTTGAAGAAAGTCACTCACTTTCTCGAAACAAATCATCATATTTTTTCCCTTCAGCCTTTTTAACTATAGTAATTTTTCTATCAAACCACTGATATCATCATTTTTTATTTTTAGAGTTAAAGAACAAAAACTTTGAGAATGTTGTTCCCTTTTCTCAAATCCAAATGAATTTTTTTGCATTAAAAGTAGTTGATAATTAAGTAGAATTAAAAACTTCATCTAGTTTTTTCATCAATCAAGTTTACTCAACAATTAAGTCATTTAATAGAGTAAAATAATTACGTTACGAGTTTAGGACAAAAATAACAACTTTCGCATAAAAAGTTTAAAAAATCACCAAATTTGAAATCATTGTTTTATTTTCTATAAATGCTTTTATCTTTGAATAAAAAACATATATCTTACCTTGTAACAAAGGAAAAGAAATAAAAGTTATAAAAATATTGCTAATGACTTGGGATCACTTTACTGTTTTTTGCGATTATTGCGAAAACCTTTCTTGTGACTTAGTAGCATAGCTGTACATGTTTGGTATTTGAAATTTGGAATACTTGTTATTAAATATCTGTTCTATACAGATTTCTGCGGACATTAATAATTTTTTTACATAAAGTCAGTTTTTAAGGCAATTATATTTTTATTCTTTTTAAAAGAAAAACGTAATATTTTTGAAATGTCCGCAAAACTAGTAATACTTTATTCCTATATTAGTATGAAAATCAAAAAATTTCTTTCTGTACATCTAGCTATGTTTACCAAATATGTTTTCAAACTTAGCATGATTAGCACTAAATTTTTTTTTTGCGTGATTTATTGTTTATATTTTGAAGCAATGACGTAAGTTACGTCACATAAACTTAATTTTTTTTTTTTTTTTTTTTTTTTTTTATGATTATTTACAACTTTGTAAACTATAGTTACAATTCCTTCTCTTGACATAATATATAACCATAGAGAAAACAAAAATAAATGTATACATATATAAATCGTTAAAAATATATTGTTAACAAACTGTGTTAAATACAAAATATATGTTTTAAATATATTTTATGATAATAAATTTGATAAAATAATTTTGGTGAAATAATTGTGATGTTGTAAGGAAACTCGCAGAAGATTTAAAAAAGTCTTGTCATCGAGAACGTTTGAGATATAAAATAAGTAAAAAATTAAAAAGCAAACTTGTTAAGTGACATTACTAGAGTAATACACATAAAAAAATTTGAGATATTAAAATTAGTAAGTGTTGTAAAGGACGTTTGGATTTTGTTATTTTTCTTTTTTCACTTTCTTGTCAAATATGTTTAAAACATATCGATAAAATTTGTTGAGTTTAATTGTGAGATGTTTAAGGTTTTTCTTTAAAGTATAAGGATTACCAGAATTACTATACCCAAAATACAGAACCAAAAGTTCTGTATTTTGGGTTTTTTTTAAAGATTTTATAGACTTTGTTACATAGGAAAGGGCCACGGTATACAACTGCGTATTGCGAAATTTTTGTTTTTTTTTATAGGCAACTTAAATTTCTCGTTCCTCTTGTAGTATACTTATTAGCGTTAATTTGAAAAAAGTTATTAGAAAAATAATGTGAAGCTATTCCAAGTTTGTATTTCAACATAAATAAAATATTTTGGTATATATTAATTTGATAGATATTTAGTGCGTTTAAAGATTTAAGTAAACGATCGCATGAGTAAATTTATTTTTATTATAAACCAGTCTTGGTGCATGTTTTTGATGCACGTATAGAGAGTTTAATGCGTTACGAAATTTTATTGCATAAACTAATACATTATACTATAAAGTATAACTATAAAAGTAGTAAAAAACAAACACCAAAAAAATATTTAATAGATCTATATTATCTTTAATATAGATTTAATAGATCTATTAAATAGTTTTTTAGGGTTTTGTTTTTTATAGATAAGGTTTGTTATAGATAAAGACTATTAAAGACTATATAAAGTTATAGTTAAAGTTAAAGTTTGTTAATTAAGTTGAAGTTAAAAAGTTATAGTTAAAGTTTTAGTTAAAACTAAAGTTTGTTATAGATAAAGACTATTAAAGACTATATAAGACTATATAAAGAATATCTATTTTATCTTTATCTATATATTTTATCTTTTATAAATATTTGCTTTATATTGGTACTTATAATATTATTTGCAACATACGTGGCAGTATAACCTTAAGAAAAAATAGATGAGTTTCCACTCGTCCGTTTTTTCCGTTCCAATGAAAAAACGGTTGAGTGAAAACTCACCTTAAGTCACGTTATTGTTGCTTTAAACCTTATGACTTTCAAATGTTGTTGGGTTTTAGTGGATTAATATTTTCATAGTATTTTAGCCATTTTTGTCATAATTATAGTTAAAAGAATAATTATTTCAAACAATGTATAATTAAATATTAGATTTCAATGTAATATCAAGTTAATGACCGTTTAATACATTCCAAATTTAATACAATAACCTTCTTAAAAAACGATTTGCATTCAATACCATTCCTACCATTCATCAATTAAATTAATTCTCCCTGAGCATAACTATCAACTTTAGTGAGTTACGTCAAAGGAGTTTTTTGTTTCAGTTTCTTTAGTGTAACTATTATGTTAAATCCTGTTAAACTTTAAAGTATAATTTAAAAACCATAATGAATTAGTTTTATCAACTTAATTCATATAAAATACAAGAACTTAGTCATGATACCACTCTTTAGGAAAAAAACGCATATTTGAAATTTGACTTAAAATAAAATTACAACTAAATTAGCGCATTTAACAAAAATTACGTAAGGGCAATGGTTACCATAGTAAAACCAATCGTAAATGTCCAATTTAAACTGCTTTTGAATTAAATCTTACTAGGATTATTTTGAATATTACCCTGATATATAGATTTAAATTTAGTTAATAAAAACATTTACAAACATTTCATTTTATTATGATCGAATTTGTAATCTTATACACTTGATGAAATAGGTAAGATTTCTATTTTTTTTTTGGTTTGACATATTGCTAAGTAATTTTTTATAGCTACATTTTATTATTAAAATGATAACAGAAATTTTACTCTTCAATATAAAACTATTTTATATAAAACTAAAATAAAATGTTCAAACAACAGATAAAATAAATTACATACAAACATACATACACATACAAACATACATACACATACAAACATACATACACATACATACATACATACATACATACATACATACATACATACATACATACATACATACATACATACATACATACATACATACATACATACATACATACATACATACATACATACATACATACATACATACATACATACATACATACATACATACTGAGCGCGCCGTTAAAGATGGCAGACGTGACTTTATAAAAAAAAAAATATTTCTTAACAATTAAATAGTAAAAGAAAAACTTATCTTGTCAATTTGACAATGGTAAAAAAAAGAAGACTTAGAAGTCTTAGTTAGTAGAGTAGTGAAATTGGAAGCGGAACTCTAAATAAAAGATAAAGAAATAAATGACCTTAAAATAGTTGTAAATGATTTGAAGAATCAATCAAAACTCGTATCAAACTCAAATGATGTATCAAATACATGGTCCGATGTAGTTGAAGGGAGGAGAGAAAACACATCTTTGCAACTGGATTTGTTTTTTCTTTAATAGATGATTTTTAAAGTAATCCTAAATACTTAAAAGACGTATACTTTTCATAACTTTAACTTATCTAACTCAAATCTTAAAGACTCCAATTGCTTAATTTTATAATGATGACCTCGTCTATGGTACATAGTTCTTAATGAAAATATGAAGAATATAATTTCAATAAATTGTTTTAAAAATATAGTTAGACAGTATTCACCTAATAATCAGACACAAATATACCCAGCAAAAATTATTTTGGTGGAGTTGCAGTGGACCTATATAGGCATTTTTGAACGGTTATTGGAGTTTTGCTCATCGATTACATAGCGGACCTTTACTTGCTACCGCTATTAATGGGCAGCCAATAACTTTGCAAAATATAAATAGTGGCTAGTCATTGGCTAACCACTTTTGGCGGCTACTGATACTAATTGTCCACTGGTTAACCGATGAGCAAAACTATTGTGGTTTGCTCAAAATGCTTTCATTTTTTAAAGTAGGTTCACTGAATTTCAGCTATAGAATGTTTGCAAAAATTTACAATTTTTTAAGTTTAAAGAAAAATCTAGTTATATTTTTTACTTTAATTATCTATTCTATTGTTACAATTAATTGTACCTTATCGTAAATATGTATTAAATTGTTTTATATAATAAGTACTGGAAACTTATACAATGAAAAATTTGTAAAAATGCTTTACACTATCTATAGGGGCTTGATGACAAGACTTTTGTCTTCTGTCGTTCTTAAATTTTATTGAAAATTTACTGATAAACTTGTAAAACAAGAATATTGTAAAATATTTCTAAAAAATTATTAACACAAAAAAGAACTATTGTTTCCTTCTAACTAAAACAATTTTTTTTTTTATCTCTTCACACATTAGCAACGTCATATTGAAATAAATAAACTCTTATTCGTATATTTGTACACGCAAAAAACAAAAATAATTTGTATTTATTATTAGACTAAACTTCGAATATTAGTCAGCAAGAACAGCAATATTATGTTAACGAGTAAATATTATAAATTGGTTTTTAATATCACCTAGATAAAATGAGATGAGCAACCTTGTAAACAATACAAACTCAATAAATAACAAGGACGAGAAAATAAACAGAGATTAAATAAATAAGCAAATAAAAAAAACAAAAAACAAAGAAATAAACAAGACAAAATAATCTCACTCAATTTATATATATATATATATATATATATATATATATATATATATATATATATATATATATATATATATATATATATATATATATATATATATATATATATATATATATATATATATATATATATATATATATATATATATATATATATATATATATATATATATTATATATATATATATATATATATATATATATATATATATAAACTTTAGCCATCTATTTCTACATCGGTTACAATCAACATATCAAAGAAAGTAGAAGAAAACCAGAATCATGTCAAGGCACTTTTTCGTGCTATTATCAATTCCAAAAGTTTTAGAGGACTTTTTTTTTTTTTGCCAATAATAAGGCCTACAAAAACAAAAATAGCCCCGGGCCCCAAGATGTCTTAATCCACCACTGGCTATTAGATTCCTCGCTTATCAAGGTATTGCATTTTGTGGCCACAATGACACAGAAGGGTCAGAAAACAAAGGAAATTCTTGCGAATTAATAAATGAGTTTGCGGAAATAGATAAAAATCTAAAAATAACGTTAGAACGTCGCTATGGACATTGCATGTTATACGATTACCAAAATGACTTGATTAAAATTTTTGGTGCAATGGTCAAAAAATATTTGTTGAAGAAATTTAAGCGTTTTAGTTGTTTTCAGTTCTTATTGACGAAACGAAAGATATTTCAAAAAAGGAACAGCTAGCATTAATAATTCGTTACTTTTATGATGGGCAGATACGAGAGAGAGTACTTAGAACGTATCATATGAGTGCTCTCAATACCAAATCACTTGCGAATTTTATTTATAACAAATTAGTTTACGTATAAATATACTGGAACTATTATGTTGCTCAATGTTATGATGGTGTTAGTGTGATGAGTGGGTGGGCTAATGGTGTTCAGGCCAGGTTAAAAGAACATGCGCCACGTGGTCAATGGATATATGTCACATTTATAAATGTGACATATGTCCATTGTCGCGCTCACAGATTAAAACTTGTTTTGATTATAACAATTTCCGGCATATAAGAATAGTCGGAATTTTTAGAAACCATCCAACCAGTGTTAAAACGTTTGAAAAATTTTCTTAGAACAACTTGTGGTAACAAGAGACTAAATTTTTTACTGCTAATGGCTGTCGAGCCTAAATTAGTTAAAGGGTTAGACCTCGAGAATTTAGTAAATGACTTTGCCTAAATTCGCCAACGTTGTTACCCAATGTTGTAATAAAACTTTCGTAACTTTTTAATATTTTAAACTCTATTATTTTATTAACTGAAAAAATAAAAAAAGTAGTTTACGTAGGACTTGAACTCTTCTGCTCAATGTTATTTTTTTTATTATGTGAGTAGGAAGAGATTTTGGGTTTTGATATTTATTTGAAAGAGAGAATACTTTTTTTTACAATGAACTTCATTAAATAACCAAGCAAGTAATATAATAGAATTTCAAGAAAAAGTTAAGAAAAAAAAAATTTTAATTGAAAAGAAAAAACTTTAAAAATAAGAGTTTGTTTCATTAATGTTGAGGTCTAATAGCTGTTGCTTTACAACGCATTTAAAATGTTGGAATGAGTTTATCGTTTTTATTTTGTTGAGTTTCACAATTGGGGTCCTCTGCTGGATATTGAGAATTTAGATTGTCTTAAAGAGGTTTTTGGAATATAGCAATTCTTGATAGAGTATTTTGTTTGATTCATATACATTACCTTCAAACTAACACATGTTTACATGAAAAAAAAAATCTATAAAGTGACGTCCTTTTCTGACAACCTCCCCCCCTCCTTTCTGTCATCTTTTTTTTCTCAACCCCCTCCCCCACCCCTATTTGGACAACGTCCTCTATGGATGGCCCCTTACTACATGATCTGGATCGGCTTATGTTTTTTCATTTTAAACATTACAATATTTAAAAACTAGCTGAGATCGGACCCGTAAAAATACGGGTCTTTGTAAGTCTATTCCAAATCGAACTTTACTTTACTTTTTCCCTATACATCCTTGCTCTCCGGATCCGTAAATTACGGGCCTTAACCAAGCCTAACATTTCTATCCATATCTTTTCTGCACTGATTATTATATATCTATTCCTTATTTAATTCAATATTTTTTAGTGAAACAATTTATTCTGAAATACTAAAAAACTTAAAATGTGCACCTTTTCCGCATATATAGAGCTTATAAAAAACTTAAAAATTAGATTTATTTTTCTACTAAATGCATTTCATTTGATAGCTCAGTAGTTAAGTGCGCTGTCATCAGTTTTGTTTTAGGGGTTTAAGACTTTTCTTCAGCGTAATAAACTTTGACATTTTTTTAATAATGCTTACATACTTATAACAAATAAATAATAATTTAGCAAAAAAGATCTCTAAAATTTAAAATAAAATTATAAAGTTTTCTCATTTTATAAATATATTAGCTGTCATGACCCGTAAAAGACGGGTCTTGGTAAATTTATTCCACATCGCCTTTTTCCAAAACTATTCCACATAAATTATAAATTTATTCCACATCGCCTTTTTCTATAGTGAGCTGAAAAAAGGTATAAAAACCATCATTGTTGTTTTCTTCTTAAATCAATAAAAAATAAAAATTTCTATTATAGTTAACCTTAATAAACTTTAAATGATACGGTAACGTTACGTTGCATAAATAGCCAATTGGATACCTGTCTAAATACCTGCTTGAAACGTGTAAAAAGTTTCACCTGACCATACCCGTAAAAACATGGGTCTTTGTAAGTCTATTCCACACTGACCTTTTCTATTCATTTTCTTTATGTGTGTATCGTAATTCTCCTAACCAGTAAAACACGGGTTTATACCAAACACGGGTTTATACCAAACACGGGTTTATACCAAACACGGGTTTATACCAAACACGGGTTTATACCAAAGCGACAATTTCTATACTAATTTATTCCACACAAATCATTTCTTAACTTTAATATTATTTGGTAAAATAAAATAATTTAAAAATTTCTAAAAAATTCCTCTAGGCGCGGTTTCAGACAGAATTAGCAAAAAAAAATTAACGTGCGCATCTTTTCCGTATACGGATCTTATAAGAGTATCTTATATAAGTGGACCTTATGAGTTTGTTTTTCTCATAAACAGAGAAACTCTATTCCACATTAACTTTGTTTATATTTCTCCTAATATTTTTTTAGTGAATAATAAATTATGAGCAAAAATGAAAGTTTACATACGCATCTTTTCCGTATACTTAGAGCTTATTACTACGTATATTTTTTTGGAATGAAAAATTCTGAATTTACTACTAAAAAAATTTAGAAAGAAAATCGTCTCTTTACGGTGTTAGATGCCTAGATTTACCTAATTAAATATGTTAGGTACTATTTTCATAGTTATCTAAGTTCCGTCATTTAGCACTTGGTTTTGAATGTTTAGCGGAGGCGTTGTAAAATAGCTATGAAACTTTAAATTACTTTATTATCCTAAAATAAGTAATTTTAACTTTTATTATTTTTTAAAATAATTAAGTTGATAAAAATAATTTATTTTATATAAAATCAAAATTTTAAGTCATGTTCTTAATGAAAACATTTTATTTAAACCTCCTTACTTTGTTCAAAAAAAGTTTAGAAGCCGAGTGGTAAGCTTGCTTTTTTTTTTTTTTTTTTTTTAAACGCAAAACAAAAAAATTTCATAGTTCTCTTTTAAAAGTGTTTTATTCTGTATTTTAAATTAAATCAATCAAAAATTAAAAAAGAAATAAAAAAGAATTCCAATGATAGGACTCCGATATTGGACTACTTATATGGACTACTTCAGAAATATGGACTATTTCAGAAATCGATATGGACTGATACGGACTACTTCAGAAATCATTTGGAAACGCTAAAAATACTTGGACTATAATAAAAGAAATAACAGGGAAAACAAAAATTACATCTAGCAACTTCCCTAATTGACTGAAAACTGATAAAGGTGAAATTTTTAATAAAAAAACAATTGCTAAGAGACTGAATAATTTTTTTTAAATGTTGGGTAAAATTTAGCCAAAGAAATCTCTCCAAGTAGCAAAACATTCCAGTCTTTTTTGAAAAAATCAGATTTTATTATGGACAATTCGGAACTTTCCATTGAAGAACTTCATTCAACTTTTGACATGCTACAGAAAAATAAAAGTGCAGGTCTTGATGAAATTAATACAAATGTTTTGAAAAGTGTCTTTGATATTATCGAATTGCCTCTTTTCATTATTTTTAAACTTTCATTAAAAAACGGGGTCTTTCCTGATCAATTAAAACTTGCTAAAATAATTCCAATTTATAAAAACGGTGACGATTCTTTAGAATCAAACTACAGACCCATCTCAATTCTTTCCTGTTTTTCAAAGGTTCTTGAACGTATTATGTATAATAGAATATATAACTTCATCGATAAAAACAATATTTTATATCCTAAACAGTTTAGATTTCGGAAAAATCATTGTACAGAGCATGCTGGGATGGATTTGGCTAGCAATATTTTGAAAGGATTTGATGGCAATAATTATACACTTGGAGATTTTGTTGATTTGTCGAAGGCGTTCGACACTGTCGACCACGAAATCCTTCTCTATAAATTAAAAAATTATGGAATTCAAAATACTAATATAAAATGGCTCGAGTCTTATTTACAAAATCGTAAACAATGTGTGACGTATGATTTAACTAGAAGTTATTAGTTGTGGTGTCCCTCAGGGCTCAATACTTGGTCCTCTGTTGTTTCTCTTATATATTAATGACATCTACTTATCCTCTAAATTCCTTAGTTTTGTTCTTTTTGCTGATGATACTAATATTTTCTTTTCGGGGTCTAATTTAAAATTTGTTTTTTCTACTGTAAACACAGAGCTAATTAATCTCAATGAATGGTTTAAAGCCAATAAACTGTCCGTAAACATTAATAAAACTAAATACATTCTGTTCACAAAACCTTCGAAAACTGATAACATACCCCTGAAACTTCCTGATTTATTTATAAACAACATTAAAGTAAAGAGAGTTCATTCAATGAAAATCCTAGGTATAATATTTGACGATCATTTAAACTGGAAAAATCATATCCAATTTGTGGAAAACAACGTTACAAAAGCTCTTGGGATCCTTTTCAAAACGAAGCACCTTTTGAATATAATGTGCTTAAAAAGCTTGTATTTTTTATTTATAGTCACATTAGTTATTGCAATATAGCGTGGGCAAGTAATTATTCATCCTCTTTAAAAAAAATTAATACCAAACAAAAACAAGCGAGCCGGTTAATTTTGAATGCAGGTAGATATGCATGCGCCGAGCCTTTACTCAAAAAAATTAATGTTTTAAATATTTATAAACTAAACATCTATCAAAATCTGTTATTTATGTTTAAAATTTATAACAACATGCTTCCAACATAATTTCAGCCTCATTTCACCTTAATTAATCACAAATACTCTACAAGATATTCCATTGGCAATTTTCTCATACCAACAACATCCCTTAGAAAAACAGACTTCTCAATAACATGTCGAGGACCACGTTTGTGGAACTATTTCCTGAATAGAGACATGAAAAACATGACTTCAATTAAACTATTTAAAAGAGCCGTTAAACTATACTTATTAGATTTAAATAATAAAAACATTCTTTTGAATTTTTAAAAAAACATTTATATATTAATTTGTTAACACGTATATATGCTTGTGTGCTTGTGTATACTTTGTGAACTGTGATGTGTTGTATTATGTTCAAAACTTGTAATATTTATAAAACTTATACAACGTGTATTTTAAGAAGTTAATACGTAAAACTTTATTGATATTTTCACGAACTTAGGAGCAGGGTGATAAGACGCATTGTCTTCTGCTTGCTCCTGTCAGAATATAAATATTTAATATTTAATTTTTACAAAAAACATTGTAAAATGATTGTTTATAGACGAAATATATATATATATATACATAATAATATAATATTCACCTCCGTATGTCGGCTCGCTAAACGCTCAGCCATATTGCAGCTTACTTAACTTAGGTTTTAAACTATTTAAAAAGCAAAAGACTGTATAAAACAAAAATAAATGCTACAGATCAAAATTAAAAAGATGTTGTCGCAATGCAAGTAAAACTGTAAAACATGATATTACATATTTATTATTACCAAACTTGATCTTACATACATAATGAAAATATACTAAACATACAGTTTCGTTCAATGATACACCTTCGTTTTAAGATACACTTTCGTTCACATTTTCTTATAAAACAAAGCTGTTGCAACTCTCTCTCCCCATTACCTCAATTGCAATGGCTTCCAAGAGGTCTGTATCAAACAGGCCCGAAAGGGCACTACTACTAATAACTTTAGTATTATTAAATAGATAAAAAGAATATTCAAACCTTCTCTATTTTGATTACTCATTTCTAAAATAAATTAGAAATCTTTATTCTTTTGTCAAAAACAATAGTTATGTTAATTCTGAATTAAGATTTTTAAAAAGAACACAATAAATAAACTTTTAATAGAAAGAAACGAAACTTACTTATTGTTTGATAAACGATATATGAAAAGGAACAGGCATATTTTCAGTCGTTTTAGAGTACAGTTGGCGCTCATACCATAATCCAAGGAATCAGATAATTTTAAAATCTTTTTATAAAGTTTGGTGGATTTAATTAGATGAACCGCAAAGACATTATCTTAGTCGTTTGAGAGTTGGCGCACATATCGTAATACAAAAATTCGTTGACTTTTGAATCTTAAAATTAAGCTGTTTTTATTACCGGGTTTGGCGGATATAAGAAGATGACATAATTTTAACAAATCTAAAATTGGAGTTTCAAATTTTTCACTTACATGTCTATATGTTTTGTGTTTTTTCAGTTTTGTCAATTTTTTTAAATGTAATATATTTTAAATTTAACATATTTTAAATATAACATACCTACTAATCACTTAACCTACTTAAACATCAAAACAAAACTGCTTGAGCAAAAAAGACTTGTAATTATTAGAAAAGTTTACTTCTGTTCCATACGACCCTGAATAAAACGTTTTATAAGTGGATTTTTTATATTTTATAAACAATTTATATAAACAAATAACATATTTTTTTATATAAATTGTTTATATAGTAATGGTTAGGCGCCAAACTTGTCTATTCAACAAAGTTTAATATAAGTTAGTTTTATTAAAAAATAATTTATATATTGTTTCTTCGTTTATATATTGTTTCTTTGCCAACACTAATACTTAAAATTTTTAAGCGCTGAATTGCAATTACTTTTAATTCTTTTGGTTTAGTGGCTTTTGCTAAAAACCTTAAGCCGTTTTTCAAAACGCCTTAAGGTAAAAAATATCATTTTTGACTTTTTTACAAAATTAGCTTTGTTTTTTTGGTTTTGTCTACAAACGTTATTAAATACATATTTACAAAAAGTTCTGAAAAAATTCATTAAAATTATATTAAAAAAAAAAACGTTTTACAAAGAGTTTATATATACATTGTTTGCGCTTAATTATCTCTATTTAATAATTTGCGTTTTTCTCGAAATACGTAGTAAACATATTAAGGCGTTTTGAAAAACAGCTGCCGCACATATTGTAAAAAAAATAAACGTTGCGAAAAACCTATTTATTTTCAAAATAAATTTTCAATTTATTTTCAAACTACGTGTTTTTTTTTTTAAAATTTTTTTTATTTTTGTGCAGCACTTTTTAGAGTAACAGAACTGTTTTGAAAAGTGTTTTTTTTTTATTAAGTTTTAGAAAAATTTGTTTTCAGACCATCCGCAGCTTATTAGGACTAATTACCTAAGCACGTTATTAACATAAGTATCTAAATCATGACACATACGCAACAATTTTTTTTCCCGGTGCTTTGATGTTTTTAAAAATATTATCTTTTTTAAAACCTTTTCGTTCGTTTAAGTGTATATTATCGTTACATATGTTTTTATAAACACTCTATAAAACTTCAAAAATATTTTGTATTTTAAAATAGTCAAAAAAATTTTAAAAAAAAAGTTTTCAATGGTAGGGCTCGAGCCATGGCTTACTTGTTCAGAAGCAAAGCGCGCTATCCACTCGGCCACGCTGGCACGTTAACAAACGAAATTTTCTAAAACTATGTAATAACGTTTATCACGGAAAGATATGTTGTACATCAAAGTTAAGGAGAACTTGACGCAATGCAATTTTTAAGTGAAAATCAAACTGTAAAACTTGACAAATGTTTCAGTATGTTTTAACATTACTTAATTTAAAGTTTACATACGTTAGAAATTTGCATACACCTTCGTTCATGTTTTCTTAAAAAACAAAATGCTGCAACTCTCACTCGCGACTATCTCGGTTCCAATGGCTGCAAAGGGTTTCGTGTCAAATACGCTCTAAGGGACACTAAAACTATTAAGTTCGGCATTATGATATAGTATATAGCAAATAATGTTCGTATTAAACGGAATCTTTTTATTATTGTTATTCAAAAAAAAACTGTCTTTCAAACGTTAAAAACAAAAATTCAACATACAACAAAGTCGCAAAACATATTTTGCCGCAAAATATTATTATTGGAGTAAAAATCTCATAATGGGAGTGAAAAATTAATATAAGATTTTTACTGGGGAGTAAAAATTTAATAAGCGGTTTTTACTGGGGAGTCAAAATCAAATCAAATCAAATATATTCTGAATATAGTTGTTATATATATCTAGGATATTTACAAATAGTAATTTGTACTAATAGAAAGTAAACACCTGTTAGACTAAATAAAAATAAGATTCAGATATTAATAATAGTTATAATACAAGTAGGAATAATAAAGTAATAGTAGTAATTATAGTAATAAAAAAAATATTAGTAGCAACTATAAAAAGTATATACTATAATAATAATTCTTGTATATAATATAATAATAAGTCTTGAAGATGCGATGCAAAAGATTAACTCTATTAATCTAAAAATTAACTCTATTAAATCAGTTAACTCTATTAAATATCTTGGGATCGAAATTCTATTTTGATTCCAAGATATTTAATAGAATTAACTGGATTTATTTTCTGCCTACTTAACCTGAAGTTTAGTTGCTTATTTATTTTTGTTATTTAACAAATTTAAATATAATAATTTCCGTTTTTTTAGAGTTAAGAGATAATTTATTTGAGCGGAGCCATTGAACAGCATTAGCTAGATCGTGATTCATGTTTTTGTTAAGTTTTTTAAGTGATTTGTTAATTAGGAGAAAGTTGGTGTCATCCGCAAAGTGATATGCAGTAGAAAATTTAAGAGAAATATTTAAATCATTGATAAAAATAAGAAAAAATAATGGACCTTAAACCGAGCCTTGTGGAACACCATTAAAAGGTTAAGGTAGTCCTGAGTTGATACCATTAATTGAAACAAATTGTGTTTTATTACAAAGAAAAACCAGAGAAAACGAATACCTCTTATAGTGTCGTAGTGTTTCAGTTTTTCTAGGAGGATTGCGTACTCAACTGTAACAAATGCTTTTCTTATGTCAATAAACACTCCACACGCAAAATGTTTATTATCGACGGCTTGTCTAATTTTCTCTGTAATTTCTATTAACGAATGAGTTGTTGCGAAAACCATACTGGTGTTTGTAAATAAATTTATGTTTTTCCAAAAAATGATTGAGTCTTTGGAACATTGCTTTTTTAAACAGTTTCCTTAAGTTAGAAAGAAGTGAAATAGGTCGATAATTGGAGTAGTCTAGATAAGAGCCCATTTTGTGTATAGGAATTACTTTGGCTACCTTAAAAGCTTTTGGAAAAATACCATTTTAGAAAGAGTTATTCATCATAGTACATAGAGGTTTGGAGATTATGTGAGATACCAACTTTAGTAGAAATGTTGGCAGACTATTGGGATCAAGGTTTTTATTATTTTTATGAGATTTGCCACCTCATTTTCAGTCACGGGATCAATAAAAAAATAATTAGTACTAGGTGCTTTAAGAAAGTTGCCAAAAACACATTTAGAGGGGACAGTATATTTAAGTAGTAAAAATTTAAGATGAGATTTTAAATATTAACTAAGAGTAAAAATTTAATATGAGATTTTTACTGGGGAGTAAAAAAAACGCGGAAGTAATAATCTCATACTATACCGGACTACAGCTAATGTATTTACTAGAAAAAAACTTTTTTTTTTAAAACGTTCTTTGAAAACTCTAAGTAGTTCTGTAATGAAGTGGCAAGGTGCAGAAGTGGCGTTGGTGTTGGTGCAGAAAATGGTAGTCAAAATTCTGAGAATAGCTTTGCAGAATAAAACTTCTTTGTTTAACGTGCTTTAACTTTATAAATAATGTTAAACCATATAAATAATTTTAAATAAAATTTTTAGTAAGAAATCATTTAAAAAAAAGATTTTTCGAAATTTAACGTACGTAATTATTGGCTTTATATTATTTTACTCAATGCATTATACTCAATTATGCATTATACTCAATTATGCAATATACTCAAGGCATAAAACAAACTAAAACGTAAAAAAAAAGCCGATAACTTTGAACAAATCCGATTGGTTGTAAATGTCAAACCGAACAACTTTTTATTTATTAGTATTTAATTTATGCAAACAAAGAATTCGTAAATTATGGCAAAATATTATATACAACCGAAGCAACTGTTATAACACTTTTGCTGGAGATATATCAATATAATTATAAAGATATCTTGAAGTGTTTGTTGGACATAATTTATGAGCCTAATTACACCTTAATGCATTGTTTTGGTATATTTTGAAATAATGTGCTACTTTTAAAAGCAGTGGGAATGAATTATGTAATAATGCGCTAACAACATGTAATGTGCTAACAACAAAATGTAATGTGCTAACAACAATGTGTAAATGTAATGTGTAAATGTAATGTGCTAACAACAAAAAGTATTTACCTTAAATCATTACCGAAGCCATAATAGCTATATGTTTAGACTTAGTGTTCAAAGATATATTTGTTTATATAACAATAAGTTAAAAGTAACTTATGTAACTTTTAAATTATTTTTATAAAAATAAAAGAAACCAAGTGTCAATTAAAGTTTAACTACTTATATACACCTAACCAATTTATATTAATTTACGATGAAATTTGTAAATTTTGTTTATATGGTTGAATAGAAATATATATATATATATATATATATATATATATATATATATATATATATATATATATATATATATATATATATATATATATATATATATATATATATATATATATATATATATATAAATGTATATAAATATAAATATATATATATATATATATATATATAATATATATATATATATATATATATATATATATATATATATATATATATATATATATATATATATATATATATATATATATATATATATATATATATATAAACAAAACGAGTTTGAAAATGAAAGTAATTTGTTAATAAAGTTTACCACCCCTGTTTTTTAATTGTTTACGGATAAATTATTTTTTCAAGATGGACGAATAAGTCCCGAGTATTTTAAAAAATGATACCAAATACCGAAAACAGTTTTTTGAATGGGGCTAAAAGTTATGATTATTTTTGCAAAAACAACTTTTGTAGAAAAGTTAACATTTCCATAGTTTATCTGAATCTAACGTGACATTATTGTTAAACATACTCATTTAGTATGTTTAACAATCAGTATGTCTTTTGATTCATTCATATCGCTTTCATTGTCCGATAAATTGACATCCCAATCTACTTCTTCTTTCGTTTTTAGTAAATGTCTTTTGTTTCTTCTAATAATATTTCCATTTAGGGTTTTTACATTGAAACTTCGTTGCTGTTTGCAATCAACAATTTTTCCTGGTTGCTATTTACTATTATCATGTATACGAACACAGTCTCCATCGTTTACGTTTTCCAATGTTTTTGCGTTTTTGTCATAATATTTCTTCTGTAAGTTTTGAACTTTTTTACGATTCTTCTTAAATTTATTTACATCGATTGGATTTACTTGAAGTAGTGACAGAGAAGTAGGAAGTGTTGATCTCAATCTTTTTCCACTTAT